GCCCTGACTCACATGGTCTGGGAAGATAGCTTTTAGTTCTCCAAGCCCCAACTTCCTGCCAGTAACTCCACACCCACGTACACACATGCATAGCGAACAGAAACTTCCTCTGTGAATGAATTGTCTCTTGTGCATGCCTGTTGCAAAATTATTACGTTCTACCTGTGTGTATTGTCTCATTTCCGACCGCCTAGTATAAGGCAAATTCCTTTTCAGTATACTGTGTCTTCCATCATTGTATCTGTGTGTTTTTCAAAGTGCTTAGTATGTAAGAGCATTCATTTAACGCTTGTTTAATCAAAAATTTTTAGGTAATAGAGAAATCAGTGTGGGTCGAGGTGGGTCGATTAAGCTGTTTAGGAAAGCTGGGTGTTAAGCTGGATTTCTGAAGGTGAACAGTGCATGGATCAGCACTGCTTAGCTCCTTAGAGAGGAGAAACATGGACCTATTTCCCTGAAGCTAACGGACTATTCTACATTTTTTCTTTCTGAGACCTCTACCAATTTTTCTGTAACTGCCCAGACACTACGGTAATGACTGTTTATATATACCATTATACCTCCACATATTTTTTAAAAACTTTTACCAGATCTGTGTCTTTGATAAGATTATAAAAAATAATAGGCAAGGGGCAAGAGGTGGCATAGTGGTTAAGGTGCTGGATTTCCACAAGGACAACCATGGTACAAGTCCCAGACCCAGCGACTTAAAGAATCATAACAAATAAATAAATAAATAAATAAATGTAAAAAATAATAATAGGGAAATTCATATCATCTTCCTCTTTAACACGGTGTTAATTCAAAGTACTTGCTGCAAGTACAGTTAATTGAGAAGTATGTGCTGCAAGCTTAAAGTATAACCGAATATATATATATATATATTTACCTGGTAAAAGATGACATGTTTTTAAGTAATTGATAATTATCTAAAGTTTGATTATAAATTGAAATTGTGTGAAATAGCTATTCATACTTTATTGAGCACATCCTATTTGAGAATTACAGAATTCTTTATTTGAAGATAAATATCACTGAAGGGTTATAGAACACCTAAATATTTTTTATTGTATATACATATATAAGCATGCTTATACAGTGCAGAATATGCATTTATTAATTTAAAGAAACATTACGGCTAAATGAAAGTAGGCTTAATTCCTAGGCAGGGAAATACCTACTCTTTCAGCCTTGTCTTCTCAGCCATCCAGTCCCGTGAGAAAGCAAATTTTATTCAGACACAAAAGAAGAATGTACTATTAAAATGCAATTCAGAAGTGATAAAAACTGGAAGTGCAGCAGCCGGCTCACAGCACCTCCTTTGTATACTCAGGGACATTGGGGCCGCATTAATTTTTTGGTGTGTGATGTCCATCCCATGTGCAAATTAGCACTAGAAAGACCATAATCTGTCTTATATGAGAGCTCTTTTCCCAAGAGCATATGTAATACATGCTTCCATAACTTTGTATAATTCAAAGCTCTATAGTCTGTTTGCTTATTTTTATTTTATATAGCATTAGAAAATATTTGTCTAGGAAAAATATTAAAAGAAGTTTATTTACAGTTAAAAATAAATTGCAGAGAGGTATGAAAATGAATGAAATAACACTTTTTCCTAAGGTTTATATTTTTTAAACAAACTTCTGAGTACACGGCAAAAAACAAATTGTCGATTGATTTTAGGTCTTTAAAAATCTTTTCTCTTGGAACTAGCAGATGGTGTAATGGCTACATCACTGGACTTCCATTTAGTCAACCACGGTTCAAGTCCCAGACCTGGTGGCTTAAACTCATGCTGGGCTCATGTGCATGCGTGCTCAAAATCCCGTGAGAAGAGAATGCAGGAGAAGGGATTGTGGCATAGTCATCCTCCCTGAGGGGTGATTTCTCATTTTCCTTCTCACTGTCTCTTTCTCTCTCGCTCTCCCCCTGCCAAGTGCACATACCCTATGGCAAAAACCTCTATAAAAATATCTAAATTAAACTAGATGTGTGAAAGTTTCATCACATGGTGATGGTTTAATAAGTATTTGTTGAACCTCAACTTTATTTTTTAGTCTGAATGTCAGAGTATTTCTCTCAGCTGAATATTTTATTTTGCTATACATATATTATTTATTTCCCAGAGCTTACTCTTTTCTAGATGTTCCTTTTATTTAAAAAGCATTCAGCTTTTACTTCTGTGATACCCTATTTTCTTTGATTATACTTGTTGAAATATTCTGTGTTCATTCCTGTTTCCTGCATTAGGTCTGTTTCTTCAGTGTTATCTTTGTGTTGGATTTGTATCTTCCTTTCATGTTGATTGTTTTCCCAATTGACAATCTATTCTTTTTTGTTTATAAAAAAGAATTATTTTATTTAACTTTATTTATTTATTTTACCAGAAAGAGCCAGAGCAAGCGAAAGAAAGGGAAAATGAGAAAGCAAGATGCTAGATTTGGGACTTGAACTACGGTCAGCCATATGGGAGTCCAATGCCCCTAACCACCACACAACCTGCCGGCCCCTTGGCAATCTATTCTTAAATTCATATTAAAAATTAAACTCTGGGTCAGCAGGTAGTGTGGAGGTTCATGTGGCTGGATCCCATATGGCTGAGTGCACTGTTCAAGTCTGGACCCAGTGGCTTGAAAAACACACCACATGTGTATGCGTGCCTGCCCCTGGGGGGGGGGTGATCTGTCACTCCCTCCCCATCTTTCTCCAGCAAACACATGTACCCTAATAGCAAACTGAAAATGTAAAATTAAGTTTAACTTTTATTTTTAATTTAAATAAATGAAAGTGAAAATTTTAAAAATTAAGTCAGGAACTATTTGTGTGTGACAGTAGGTTTCTGACTGAGGTAGACTTTATTGTTCTATAATATGGTCTTTTAATTAAGACCTCACTCAATGTTGACATTTGAAGTAGTTTCTTTGAAACTCTCAGTATCTTTTCAGAAGATACAGTCTTCTAAAGTACTGAAGTCCAGCTGCCAGTTCACTTAAGACTTGAGTAGGGGAAGAGTTCATTGGATGTACTTGGATCAAAATCTAACTATTTCATTGGTATCTCACCTTGACCTTTCACTGTTGGACCTGTTTTCTCTAAGACCAGGTTTCTCTGGTATAAATCTTTCTAAGAATGACTTTTCTTTTTCCTTTTTAAGAGAAATTTTGGCTATAGGGAACGTGCACTTGTCGGAGAGACAGAGACAGAAAGACAGAAAGCTAGAAATCACCCCCCTAGGGAGGATGGCCATGCCACAATCCCTTCTCCTTCATTCTCTTCTTGGGATTTTGGGCACTCACACACATGCACCCAGTGTGAGTTTTAAGCTGCCAGGTCCAGGACTCAAACTGCGGTAGACTACGTGGAAGTCCAACAACATAACCATTACACCATCTTCTGGTGTAATGGCTTTTCTTATGGATTATGTGCTAGGAGGGACTTGGAGATTTAATTACTTTTAGCCTGTTTTTACTTTTGTTTCTCTCTGTCATATTCAATAGTAAATATAGCTTCAGTCTCTCAGCCTGTCCAGGGTTCTGCAGGACAAATAGCTTCATTGCTTTTTGATATCCTCTCTTCTGGAGCTTAAAACTTCAGTTTTCTTAATTCTTCTATGTCAATTCTGAATTTTCTGTCCGCTAAGAATATACTGGTATTTTCATCTGGTATTTTTCATCTTTTGTCTGCTTTCTTCTGGTGGATTTATAACTTTTTTTACTCCTTTACTCTTATTTCAGTGTGCTTTGATGATAGATTTGAGCAATTCAGCAGGTTATACTACCACAATCTTAGATGTCCTGTGGAGAGTTTATATGGATTTTAACAGCTTAGCCTTGGGAGGCCCGCTACTGGTGTGGTGTAGTTAAGGGAGCTGGATCACACATAGCATACTGTGTGGTTCAAGTGCCGTATCCAGTGTCTTGAAAGACACCCAGACATATGTGCATGCTTGCCCAGAATCTCAGGAGGAAAGTGGAGAAGGGATTGTCACCAGGGTGGAAGGGTACTTTCTCTCTCTCTCTCTCTCTCTTACTGTTTCTCTCCAATGAACACATGCCCTATAGCAAAAATTTCAAAAATAATACTAAAAAGTTTTAAAAAGCTTAGTCTTTTATGTTGACTATAAAACCAGAGTGATAATAATAATAATAATAATAATAGTAATAATAATCATTACTATAACAAGAAGTTATTCTAATTTTACACTACTGTTATAAATTGGACAGCTATTCTTTTCAGCCTCCGTGTTAGATATTGACTATAATACCCCAGAGTGATAATAATAATAATAATAGTAATAATAATCATTACCATAACAAGAAGTTATTCTAATTTTACACTACTGTTATTAATTGGACAGCTATTCTTTTCAGCCTCCGTGTTAGATATTTTATATTTATTTAGCTGTTCACTTCTTATAACAGCCCTAAGTGTAAGTAAAGGCTCATAGAGATGCAATAACTTGCATAAGGGAACACAGCTAGCAAAGACAAAGCCAAGATTGGAATACAGGGGTGGCTGACATGAAAGCCCTGTTATTCATACCCTTTATCCTCAATGCCCTCATTATTTGGGTGGCCTAAGATTCAAACGAAGTCCACTTCAAGGAGAATCATCTGTTCCCTCTGTCCTTTCTATGGTGAGATCCTATTTTTTTTAAGTTAAGAACATTGTTACAGACATGATAAATTTTGAGTTATTTGGCATTTTAATTCATAAATACATTATTTAACATTACTTATGTTAACAAATTATTTAGAGCTCAAAAGAATTCTGCAAAGAAAGTTTTAGTATCTTCAGCTGCAGAATAGGAAATGAAGTCACAGAAATTAGTAACACAGATAACCAGGGTCAGATGCTGAGATAGAATTCAGTATTCTGATTTCAAACCATGTGTTCGTTTCACTTTACTATACTGCTTGCTTCTCTGTATCCTGATTTTTTAGAAGTCAAATAGCTCTATAAATTAACCTAAGAATATAACCTAAATATTCTTTCAGGTTTTTGCCATTCTCTTCCTACAATCAAAATAAAAAGTACGTCCTGTCATTACATTCATCAAGCAAGTATGGTTTCGATTCTTACGGAAAAGAGCATTTCCGAAGTGAAGATCCTAAGAAATGGATCAGTAACAAGGTGAGTTGACACAACACTAAAAAATAGAGTTCCTTGTAAAAGGTTAAAAATTTACGTTGATTACTGCAAATATATTCTCATTGCTTTTATGACTTTTATGATTACAAAATTATTTAACTGTTTCATGTAAAAATAGTGCTAGTGACCTATGTCAGTAAGTTATTATTTTTTTTCAGTATTGTGTTCTTACATTTTATGACTTGGCTACCCTATTATCAATGGCATGCATGGATCACTGGCTTTGGCATATGAACAGGGTCAGGGCATGAATCTGAGGTTACAGAATGGAGTGAAGCTAACTCTCAAGCATAGAGATTAGTGCAGGCTCACACTCTCTCAATGTCTATGTGTATGTGTATCTATAGAGACATAGATAGATAAAGGGCAGAGCCTGAGAAAGAAGCATTAGGCACCATGTCTGGGCACAAAGGGAGTGAGAAGAGGCTCCTGAAATAGCCTAAGAAAAAGGTCAAGGAGATGGATAAGGAAGATAAGACTTTCAAGCAGAAACAGAAAGAGGAGCAGAAGAAGCTCAAGGAGCTAAGGGCAAAGGATGCAGGGAAGGGTTCCCTAGTCACAGGTGGCAAAGAAAGAAAGCTGGCAACAAGTAAGTTGTTTCTAATGCTTGAGACAATGGTGACCATTGATTCTATTTTTCCTTAAACATCTATATTCTCTGACATAACATTTTTTGCCACCTATAGCTAAGGTAAAGTGTTGTTGTAGAGCCTGTTGTACATTTAAGTATAAGCTTTGTTAACAAAAACAAACAAACAAAAAACAGACCAGCAGGTGGAATGGAAGTTAATGCACTGGTTGACTCCACAGTTCAAGTCTTGGACCTGGCAGCTTGAAAACTCACCAGGCACATGTGCATGCATGCCCAAGATCCCAAGAGGAGAAAGGAGAGTGCCTTTTCCCCCTGAAGAGTGATTTCTCACTTTCCTCTCTCTTTCTCTCTCTGTCGATGGCAAGTACATGTGCCTTCCAGCAAACCTAAAAAAATAAAAAAAATAAAAAAATAAAGGAAAAAGAACTAAAAACAACAAAAATAGACAAGTTCTATGCTTTCCAAAATCTCTCTGTCTATGGCAAGCACATGTGCCTTCCAGCAAACCTTAAAAAATAAAAAAATAAAGGAAAAAGAACTAAAAACAACAAAAATAGACAAGTTCTATGCTTTCCAAAATACACTGATGGAACAGGCATTGAAAGACATTCCCATTCAAAAGAAGAAAATTGGAAGAAAGAAATGAATAATAGGTCCCAAGCAAGTCTAAAATCTGGCAATGCAAATTTCATTAGTCATTAACAGTAGAAAATAACTTCCTTTGGTTCAATATTCTGCCCTCCAGTCCCTCCTGGATGGAGTCATTCTGATGGTTCTATGGTTATGGCAGAGGCTCTCTGTAGGGACCTTGCTCACATAACTTTCTGTAAGGGTGGGTCCTATCGCTAGGCTCTGGGCAGGGTCATCCTGTCCTGCTAAAACTGGAGAGGCAGCTCCACCAGTTTTTCCCTGGGGCCTGCAGTGGAAGTGACAGTGCTGAAGATCTCCTAATCGTCTTCACAGCCATTCTTCCCTTTCACTAAAAGATAATACTTCAGACCCATAGAACCCCACAACCGTCTTCATTCTGTCCCACTTTCACTGCCCCATTTAGTTCAAACTGGCAATGTCTTTCTGGTGTAATCCCATCTCTCTTCCTGGCTGGTTAAGTCCCTGAATTGTCTCTGTACCCTCTTTATTTGCTATTTAAGAACTTTTTAAGGCACTGAGTCTAAAAGGATGAAGACGATACTGGGTCTACTATGGTACATGTTCCTTTAGAAATTCCTAGCTCAAAACACACTACTCACAGGTTGTTGTATGACCCCATCGAATCTTAAGCACCTCCTTAAAGGCCCTATCTTCAATATATCACATTAGAGGTAAGATTTGAACATACAGATTTTGGAGGAAATGCAATTCAGTTTGTACCATGTGATTAAATATTATCTGTACAACACTGTACTGTGTTACATATTTAGCACACATATATATACTATCTTTGTGCTTTGCTTATAGATGGGAAAAAGCTGAATATTGAGAAAAATAGACTGTATTAGTCTAAAGATATTTTTGTGTTCCTTTTCTTAAAACATGTAGTGTAACCACCATTACACGGTTATTATTTTTTTAAGAGGTTTTTGCCTTAAAGTGCATGTACTTGCTGGAGAGACAGAAATAGTGAGTGGCAAAGTGAGAAACCAATCCCTAGGACAGATGGCCATACCATAATCCCTTCTCCTTCACTCTCCTCCCAGGATTTTGAGCACTCATGCACATGTACTTAGTGTGATTTTCAAGCCACTGGGTCCAGGATGCGAACTGCAGTCAGCCATATGGGAGTCCGGTGACATAATCGCTACACCATCTGCTAGCCCCAGATTATTTCCTCAAAATGTAAATGCTATGGTTCATTATATTGTTTTATATCTATAGCTTTTTAATTGAATTTTTGACTTGGTTTAAATCTTTCAGGGCTGGCCCCACAACCTAGTATTGAGTAATTAGGGAAATCATTTCTCACATGGCTGACTTTGGTTCACATTCCAGCCTGGGGGTGGCTTGAAAAACATGCAAGGTGTAGGACTAGCAGATGGTGTAATGATTACATTGCTGGACTCCCAAATAGTGGATCACAGTTCAAGTCCCAGACCTAGTAGCTTAAAATTCACGTTGGGCATGTGTGTGTGTGTGCATGCCCAAAATCCTGAAAGGAGAATGGGGGAAAAGGGATTGCAGCATGACCATACCCCTTGGGGGTGGGGGTGATTTCTTGCTTTCTGTCTCTCCTTGATTCTCTGTTGAGCGCACACACCCTATACCAAAAAACTCTCTTAAAAAAGCCAGTTGTATGTGCATGAGTGATCCAAATCCCAGCATGATGAAGAAATGGAGAAGAAGGAATTGTGCATGTTCATGCCTTGTTGGGTGTACTTTCTTCCTTTCCCTCTCTCTCTATGCCTCGCCGGTAAGTACACACACACATCTTGTGGCAATTCAAATGGTGATGGTGATAAAACTTTAGAAAGACCAAAGTGAAGACTCCTTGCTCACTTTAAGGGTTCAACTGAGATTTCAGAATTAAGAACATTAGTCATAAAACATGATATACAAAGGGGAACCAGCAGTTAGCGTAATGGCTATGTCGCTGGACTCCCACCTAGTCCCAGCGGTTTGCTGGCTTAAAACTCACGCCGGGCGTGTGTGTGTGCATGCCCAAGATCCCAAGAGGAGAATGGAGGAGAAGGGATTGCGGCGTGAACCATCCCCCCTGGGGGGTGATTTCTCGCTTTCTGTTTCTATGTCTCTCTCTGTCTGTCTGACAAGTGCATGCACCCTATAGCGAAAACCTCTAAAAAACAACAACAACAACAAAAAAAACATGATACACAAAGGAAGAAAATTAGTAAATAATTCTTATCTGATTTCTGAATACTTTTAGCTATTAAGTAAAAATGTCTGAATTGTTCAAACACCATAATGTCTTAACACCATAGGAGATGAAAAAAGGAAAGTTTTTATAATGTATTTAACCTGTTTAACAACTAGGCTATAACGTCTTTATAGAAAAGTGTATACAGAAACAATGAACATAGCAAGTGATTTTCGGGAATAGGATCAGAGCCTTTCCTAATGTATTGGTATTTTCAGAACGGTTCTAGTAATAGCTTGTCAATAAGGATTCATTTATTTGCACACTACCTTTTTTCAGGAGGTATTTAAGGTACTGTACTCAAAGCCAAATACAGTAAAGATTATATTTTAGAAATAAAAATAAGGAGAAATAATCTAAGATTAGAAGAGTTTATGTCTCCACAAAATAAAGTGGCACCGTTGTTATGGTGGTAAGTGACTTAGGAATAAGCTTATGGATGGCCAACTTGAAGAGGAAAAGACAGGCTACTTATTAATCAAGAGGAAGAAATGGACAAATCAAGTCTCTATCATACTCTAAGGAAAAGAAAATAACATTATAAATATGGGGAGGTCATGCTGAGGAGTAAGTTGGATACTTCAAAAAGTACCTTATTCTTTTGCAGCTTCTATGTTATCTAGGTTATCTTTTCTTTTCTTTCTTTTTTTTTTTTTTAAGAGAGAGATTTTTGCTATAGGGTGCATGTGCTCACTGGAGAGACAGAAAGACAGAAAGCAAGAAATCATCCCCCAGGGGGATGACCACACCACAGTCCCTTCTTCTCCATTCTCCTCTTGGGATCTTGGTCATGCATACACATGTACCCAGTGTGAGTTTTAAGTCTCTCGTTCCAGGACTTGAACTGTGTTCGACTATGTGGGAGTCCAGTGATGTAACCATTATATCATCTGCTGATCCCTCTAAGTTATCTTTTTAACAAAGGGTCTTCAACATACTGGTAATTCCATGGGATAAGGAATATGTATAGTGTGTAGTTTGATCTGGTTCACCCTTAGAAATGATTGGCAAGCCAGAATGTTGATGATAATGTCATTTCATAAACTCCACAAAGTACTCTAGACAGTTTTTTTAAACCTAAAAGGCAACCATTCAGAATATACGCTAGTTATGATTTTTAGTTTTATTGAATTTCTTATTTTGAGTGTATATAAAGTCATGTATTTCTCATTTTCTGTTTGACATAAACTCTTACTTTATGCCCTCTCATTATTCTATTTAATTCAAGGAAGCATTCATTTCTTTAAAATATCAATGACTTAGAACACTAAGTTATCAGAGTAAGATATAACCTGGTGCAAAATGTTTGTTCCCTGTAATAATATAGCATTTCCTCTGGTTTTATGTAACAAACACTCCAAAAATATGCATTCACCTAACAGAAATAAGCAATTTTATGGAAAGAGAAAAACTGTTGAGTACTCACTAAAAGGAAAAAGAGTCTGTTTTGTTATCTTGGAAGAATCATGTGTACTTTTGTATACTTTTAGAAAGCATATGTACTTAAGCAAATGAATC